AAATAGTGAAAAAAGGGGAGAAAAATGGCGAAAAAACGGGAAAACACCGGGATGAGGAGGGGGAAAATGGGAAAAATCGGGAAAAATGGAGAAATGCAGGGAGGAGATTGATGAGGTGAGGGACAGGAAAAAATCAGGGGAAAAAAATGGGGGGAAAGGGGAGAAAAATAGGAAAAATTGGGAAAAAAGAGGGGGGAAATAGGAAAATGGGAAAATTTGGGAAAAAAGAGGTATGAATAGGGGAGAAAATGGGAAAAATCTGGAAAAAACAGGGGAAATTGGGATGAGAAAAGGGGAAAATCGGGAAAAATTGGGAAAACCGAGGGATGAGGAGGGGAGAAAATCCGGAGGGAAAAGGGGGAAAAATCGGGAAAAAAGAGGGGAAAAATCGGGATGAGGAGGGGAGAAATGGAGGGGAAATGGGAAAAAATCGGGATGAGGAGGGGAGAAAATGGGAAAAATCGGGAAAAAAGAGGGAAAATGGAGAAATGGGGGAAAAAAGCGGGATCGGAAAAGGAGGGGAGGGAGGGAGGGGAGGGGGAGGGGAGGGAGAGGGATGGAAACCGGAGCTTGGGGGGGGTGGGGGGGTCGGGAATTCGGGAATTCGGGGCGGAGAATCCGGCGGGGAAGGAGCCGGGATGGGGAGGAGGAGGAGGAGGAGGAAGGCTGGGAAATGATGGAGGAGGAGGAGGAGGAGGAGGGAGAGGAGGAGCGAGGAAGGCTGGGAGGAGGAGGAGGAGGAGGAGGAGGAGGAAGAGGAGCGGGGAGGGGCCCGGGGCGGTTTTGGGGTCCCACCCCTCGAGGAAAGGGAAATTTGGGGGGGTGGGGGAGGAGCACGGACTCACCTGAGGGGGGGCGATGAGCTGTGGGGGAGGGGAGGGAAACTGAGTCACACAGAGAGGACCCCCCCCACACACGAATCCCAGAAACTCCAAAAAAACCCAAAAATCCCAGAAATCCCCCCCAAAAAAATTCCCAGGGGAAACTGAGTCACAGAGAGACCCCCCCCCCCACACACGAATCCCAGAAACTCCAAAAAAAACCAAAAATCCCAGAAATCCCCCCCAAAAAAATTCCCAGGGGAAACTGAGTCACAGAGAGACCCCCCCCCCCAAAAAAAATCCCCAAGAACCTTCCCAGAAGACCCCAGAGACCCCAAATCCCCCGGACCACCAAAACCCCAAACGCAAACTCCAAATCCCAACGACCCCAAATCCCCCCAAAACCCCAAATCCCACAGAGACCCCCAAACCCCAAAGACCCCAAAATCCTAATCCCCAAAAAAACCCCAAAACCCGAAAAACCCAAACCCCAAATCCCATAGAGACCCCAAAAAAAACCCCAAAAAAAACCCTCCAAAACCCCAACACCCCAAAAACCCCAAACCCCCCCAAAAAAAACCCAAAACCCCAAAAACCCAACACCCCAAAAACCCAAACCCCAAATCCCATAGAGACCCCAAAAAAAACCTCAAAAAAACCCTCCAAAACCCCAACACCCCAAAAACCCCAAACCCCCCCAAAAAAATCACAAAACCCCAATCCCCTACACCCCAAAAACTCCAAAGACCCCAAAAAACTCGGAAAATACCCCAAAAAAGGCCCAAAAGCCCAATCTCCTACAACCCAATCCCTCACACCCCAAAACCCCAAAACCAAAAAAAAACCCCAATCCCCCACACCCCAAAAACTCCAAAGACCCCAAAAAACTTGGAAAATACCCCAAAAAAACCCAAAAAAGGCCCAAAAGCCCAATCTCCTACAACCCAATCCCTCACACCCCAAAACCCCAAAACCACAAAAAACCCAATCTCCCACACCCCAAATCCCCCAAAAATCTGCAAAAAAACCTCAAAAAAAACCCAAAAGCCCAATCCCCCACACCCCAAAAACCCCCAAAAACCCCAAAATTCCCCCAACCCCCGAAGCGGGACTGACGCAGGCAGTGTGGCCGGGGCTGGCTCCAGCGCCCGCTCCGGGTGCAGTTGCTGCGCGCGGCGCCCACCAGGCGGAAGCCGGGCTGGCAGGAGAACCTGGCCCAGGTGCCCTCCACGGGGACCTTCTCCATGGCCCCCGCAGCCACCTGCCCGTTCTCCAGGCTCAGGTGGGCCTTGGGGCACGTCCGCACTGTGGGGACACCGCAGCGTCGGCGTGGTGGCCCCAAAACCCACGTGGACATCGGGAACCCCAACATGTGAACATCAGTGAACCCCAAAATGGACACGGGGTGGTGGCCCCAACATGTGAACATCAGTGAGCCCCAACATGGTTGTTGGTGGACCCCAAAATGGATACGGGGTGGTGGCCCCAACATGTGAACATCAGTGAACCCCAAAATGGGCGTTGGTGAACCTCAGAATGGACACGGGGTGGTGGCCCCAACATGTGAACATCAGTGAACCCCAACATGGGTGTTGGTGGACCCCAAAAGTGGATGTGGGATGGTGGCCCCAAAATCTGAACATCAGGGAGCCCCAAAGTGGATGTTGGGTGGTGGCCCCAAAGTGGATGTGGGGTGGTGGCCCCAAAATGGGCATTGGTGAACCCCAAAGTGGATCTGGAGTGGTGGACCCCAAAGTGGACATGGGGTGGTAGCCCCGAAATCCACGTGGCATGGTGGCCCCAAAATTAATGTGGGGTGGTGGCCCCAGAATGGGCATAGGCGAAGCCAAAAGTGGACATGGTGGTGGTGGCCCCAAAACAGGCATTGGTGAGCCCCAAAATGGTCGCCTGCCCGTTCTCCATGCATGGTCATCATGGTCTTAGCCATGGTCAAGGTGATGGGTGTGGTGATGGTCCTGGGCATGGTGATGGTCAAGTGGTGGGCATGGTCATGGTGATGGCGGTCAAGGCCAAGATGATGGTCAAGTGGTGGTCATGGTCAAGGTGATGGCAATGGTCAGGGTGATGGTGGTTGAGGTGATGATGGTCGAGCTCACAGTGATGATGGGATGGGGATATTGATGGGGTGGAGAGAAGGTGAGGACATTGATAGGATGGGGACAGGGATGGAGATGTTGATGGAATGAGAACCTCATGGGACAGAGACGTTGATGGTATGGAAACATTGATCGTATGGAGATATTGATGATATGGAGATATTGATGGTATGGAGATATTGGTGGAGACATCAATGGAATGATGTCAAGATGGAGATGTTGATGGGATGGTGACAAGATGGAAAAGTTGGTGGGATGGAGATGATGGGATGGGGGCAAGATGGAGACTTTAATGGAATGATGCCAAGATGGAAATGTTGATGGGATGGAGACTCTGATTGGGATGAGAACCTTCACGGGATGGGGACATGGATGGCACGGTGACAAGATGGAGACGTTGATGGGATGGAGATGATGGGACGAGGACAAGATGGAAACGTTGATGAGAAGATGGGGACATTGATGGGATGGAGATGATGGGACGAGGACAAGATGGGGACATTGATGGGATGAGGACAAGATGGAAATGTTGATGAGAAGATGGGGACATTGATGGGATGGAGATGCTGGGACGAGGACAAGATGGAAACGTTGATGAGATGCCGACAAGACGGACACGCCGAGATGGAACGAGAACTTCCGCGGGACGGAACGCTGACGTGACAGAGACCCCAGGGGACCTGTCGGTGGCACTCACGGCAGCGGCTGGGGTGGCCCATGGCCGTCCAGGTGCCGTCGCGCTGGCACTTGCGCACCTTGGGCCCCACGATCTCGCGCTCGGGCCGGCACACGTACTCGATCTCGTAGTCGAAGGGCAGGAACCGCACGCTCCGCACCTCGTCCGGCGTTAGGCCCCGGTAGCGGATGCCCCCGTCCCGCGGAGGGTGGATGATCTGGCAGCCTGGGGACACCGAGAGCGCCGTTGGAGAAACGTGGGGCTGGGGATGGAATTGTGGGGTTGGGGACACCAAAAAACATTTGGTTGGCCCTGAAAATATGGGATTTGGGGTCGGGGACACCAAAAAACATGGGGCTGGGGACAGCAAAAAACATGGTGGTGGCCCCCCAAAACTACGGGATTTGGGGTTGGGGACATCAAAAAACGTTTGGTTGGCCCCGAAAATACGGGATTTGGGGTCAGGGACACCAAAAAACGTGGGATTGACCCTGAAAATTTGGGATTGGCCCCAAAAGTTAGTGATTGGCCCCAAATGTTGGGGTTGGCGCAGGTTTGGGTTCGTCACCTTCGGTGAGGTTGGCGTGGACGGCGCCGCGGGCGGAGCTGGAGAGGAGCAGCAGGAGCAGAGGGGACAGCGGGGACAGCAACGGCGGTGGCATCTGGAAACCCCAAAAATGAGAAATTCCATGTGGGAAAACCCCAAAAATGGGGAAATTCTATGGGGGAAAACCCCAAAAATGGGGAAATTCTATGGGGGAAATCCCAAAAAAGAGAAATTCTATGGGGAAACTCCCAAACATGGAGAATTTCCCCCAATTTCTGCCGCTCCCCCCATCCAGGACCCTTCCCCCAATCTTTGCCCCTCCCCAAAAAAAAATTTGGGACCCTCCCCCCCATTTTTGCCCC